GTGGAGCAAAGCCATCAGTGGTCGCAGCGTAGGTCACAGGTGATTCGGCGACGTTTTCAGGGGCATCTGATATGACAGTAGAGTAGCGAGGAGGCACTGAAAGGGGCGGTGCAGGTTTCCGCTGAACAGAATCGGCAGAGGATTTTGCTGACGGTGCGCGAGACCGTGGTGGTAATGGAGGCGGCAATTCCTCACTCTGTGTCTGTTGTGGCTCGTGATAGGTAGGTAACTTTTCGTTGTCAAGTAGCGTTATACCACTCATCTGATCTTCCAGCGAGCCTTTGCTATCTGCAGAATCTCGCTTCGCATCTGCAGGATCTTCCCAGTCGTTCTCGTCTCCAGGTAGCTTGAGCTCTTGGTAGAAAGCTTCCTCAGTCTGCCCACATGCTTCTCTTAGCCCTTCAGTCCACATGTCAATTGCTTGCGTAAAGATTCTCCTAATTATGGAAGACATCTTAGCGTCTTCTAGCTGATCGGGACCACACAGCAATCCTGGTGCGAAACAAACAGCCAAGTTTTCGGCCGTCATTTTGTTTTCCTCTTCACGTGCGGCTATGGCACTCAAGAGAGGCAGGAGATGCCTACATAGGATCTCGCGGGATATGCCAGGTAACAAAGACCACTCTGAGGTTGGCGAAAATAGATCTGTGAGCTTTTCGAGTTCAAGGATTTCTTGGCTATCCCCATAGAGTCGCTTAAGATCTCGATACGAGTCTGTTGGGAAGATGGGCTGGCGCAGAGATGCGTACCATGCTTTGATCATAGCTGCTGCCATAAAGACCGAGTATGCGTCGGTTGGGACCACCTCAGCTAGTATCTCATCTTGGTGTTCTGCATGTGGATATGGCGGCAGGGGAAGTGTTGCGTCGTTGTCCTTCCAGATGATGTATTTCTGGCCCCTATCATATGCCTCCTTCAACGCGTCGCGCAGCCTCGAGTGTGGGGGTACACGGAAGAGACCCTCGGAAGTGATGTTCTGCTCCATGAGCACGAAGCTTGTTGTTTCTCGCAAGACGCGGGGAAAGCGTGTCTTGCCATTAGTGGCTGTAGGGAAGGGAGTGCGGGCACCGAATGCTCGCTTCCCACTGCCATTGAAGGCAGAAATGTGCTCTGACACTCGGCGGTCGGCAAGATAGGTCGAAGGAGGAATCAAGAGGTTTTGGATCTGGATTTCGTGGGCAAGCTGAGTCAAGTTGGATACTGGAAGGAGTCAGCATTGGTGCGCGCTAGGGGGACATGTAGATACGTACGATGGTAGATCTTTCTCCTGAACTTGGGGCTGACAATGGTAGAGAAGATCTCGGTCAGTATCCTCACCCAAGCTTTCTCGTGCACAATGTATAGTCTTTGTAGCCTCTTTCGCATGGCCCTGGATAGAACATGGTACGCCTGTAGAAACCAGCCCCAGCCAGGCCGGTGCTTCTTGCTAGTCACGGAGCCATCGCCATCTCCTGCAAAGAAGACGACCTCGTACTCGAACCCCTTGAGTAACTCGTCTTCTTCCGGCAGACGCGCAAGAACATAAGGCAACAGGGAGTCGTAGTCTGCTTCGTGCGAGTCTGGGAGAGCGGCGGCGTTGAGGATGAAGACGGGCCTTCCCTCGTGCGAAGGAAGCGGCGAGCGGTAGAGGACGGAAGCCGCGATTTTGGCCAGGTCGGGGGAGTAGTTGGAACTATGCTGTGGTGGGGGTACTGCTGAGAGCGAGGAGCTGCGCAGCCGACTGGCGATGTGAGCACGCACGCCGCTCATGGCGCCGAACTATGGTGGTGGGGAGCTTCAGTCAGGGTTGCGGTTGACGGGGGACGAGAATCGAGGGCGAATCGAGTATATGAGCACGTGTGCAGAGAATACCTAGGTATTTGGAAGAGTTGGCCGAGGGCCTGAGGCGGTGCGGCGGTGCGGCTTATGCGGAGATGCACCGCTCGAACTATAAACAATCCTTTGGTACGTCACATTCACGAGCGGCAACAGGGTCTCAACTTTCTTAGCGCAGTCGAGCACGGACGTGGCTGGCTCTGATTTGGCTCTACTACTCTAGAGTCCCATGTGTTTCAGATGCCGCGTCGCCTCTACGAAGAAGCTAGCTGTCTTCCAGCTGGTACCTTTCATATGCACTGAAGGTACGCGCGCCAACTTCTGTATAGAGGCAAACAGGATAACGCCGACTGTATACTTTTAGCCTACATTATAATTAGCTACAGCCCGACAAAACAAACTATCTCTATCGTAAGATGCTGCTCAGCAATCCAAGGCCCAAGCATTGCTGGCGTGGGGCCAGATTTGGGATTCGCCCTGCAGAAGACGCGCGGGGGGCTGCACATGTAATATCACGCATTACGGTCAAGACAAGATACCCATGACTGAATAGTACTGGGCATCATTTTTCGCCTGGGCGGCAAACTCTACTTCCAAGTATCGATAATCATTCCATGACATGACACGCGTTTGCTGTGAGGCGCTCCCGCTGATCAAGTCGCACATTGCGCAGCATGGCCCCCCAGCGCTACTCATCCGTCTCCGAGCCTGTGCCATCGCCTGCACCCTCAGCAGCCTGTCCATCGAATACTAACTGCACGCCTTCTTCTTGCAACCTCCTTCGTAACATCTGGAAGCGGTGTGTTCTCTCGCCAAACTCTTCCATACTGCTGTTCGCTTCCTCCAGCACCCGTGCTAACCCTTCCTGCTCCAGACCTGGCTGCACCAACCTGTCTATTCCTATGCTTTGGAAATATATTTGGAATTGTTCGAGTTCGGCTAGTAGCTCTTCTCGCACCGCAGGATCGCGGGGGCGCCCTGAGAGTGCTCCAGCTACAGAAGCATCGTAGGATTCTATGCTGTCATCAGGAGGCAGTGGGTCAGATACTGATGTGAACTTGGCCTTGACTTTGGGATCGAGAAGAGCCATGAGCGGTTGGTTATCCGAAAGAATGACATGCCTGCCAAGGTCCGTCTCTGGCATTTGCGCAAGCCAGTATGGGTCCTCCCCAGCTCCCAGCTCTTCTTCGAAAGAGTAGCAGATTTCCACAAGCAAAGTCGTTCCTTCGGTGTTGTTCCACAAGTCCTTCGCCTTGGGTACATAAAGCTGGCATAATAGTTCTTGGTACTCGCCGTTTGGTTCTTTTCCCCATACAGGTTTTGGTATTGGGGAAATGTCCAACTCTTTGCACAGGCGCGCCGCTAGCCATGGGTACTCTTTTACTGCGTTACGCAACGTCGAGCGTGCTTTTTGTGGCTGCTTGACACGATCGTGAGCAAGCGCAACACTGAAGGCGAGGTTTGGCGGAACCTTCCACTCTCGCTGTAGATAGTCTGATTCTACCAGGTCAATCAGGGCTCCCGGTTCTCGCCCCCTTAGGGCTAATTGGTCTATAAGTAACCGAAGACAATAAGGATCGTGTTCAGGGTCCATGGCAAGTAGCATCTTAGCCCACTCGAACGACGTGCGCCATGTCGCGCGAACACCCAGTGTGGCTATGTAGCGCCATACAGCAAGCCAAAATTCGCGGTTTTCCGGACGGCGAAAGTCCATACGGGCTTTGCCGGACGCCAGGTTTGCAGAGAAGGTGGAATGCACAGAGCGTCCAAAAGTGAAAAGGGCGCGCTCTAACATGTCGGACGCAGCAGCAGCCTCTCTTTGTTGCTTTGCAATTTCGGATACCTGGAGCAGAGTGGAAATGTGGAAGGCTAAGGACAGATTTAGTATTTTGACTTGAATAAAACACAAGGGGACTTACGGTTGTGATGCAGGAGTTGGATCATACGCTCAGAGTCCATGCTTGCAACGCAAATCTGGAACTGTCGCTGGACATCCTGATACGTTTTGTTGTGAACAAACCTGTACTCGACTGTGCCATCTGGTCGCTTCTCAACAATCTCCATGCCGAGACCACCAGAGGTAGCCCGTGGCCACTCCTCTTTGCCTTGAATAAAAATGTTTCGTCGAAGTCCCAAAGATGCAAGGTTGCGATTGCCAGGGGCGTTACGCCCTGCGATTGCAGCGGCGATGCCACCTTGCTGACCACGTTGTCGAGGCCGCGCCTCATCTTCGGCACTTTGCACTGCTGCTCGACCAAAGAGCCTCTTCATCTCGTTGGCGGCATGAAGATGTTGTGTGTCCACACTGAGCACGGAAAAGAGCTGTTTTTTCTCTTCACTAATAGTGTCCTGCTGATCGGGCCCAGTCTCCGTCCGACCGTTCATGGCCATATTAAGAGCAAGCAATGCCTCATCGATCTCATCGAGATCTGACTTCTTGGCTGAAGCAGCAGTCTTGTCGGCATCTGTAGCCTTGCCTTTAGCTTTTGCCTTCTTTTTTTTCTTCTTGCTCTTCTTTGAGGGCTTTGATGCAGGCATAGACTCGGCCTCGGCCTGTCCATCAGAATCTCCAACCTTGGGTTTGACGTCCTGGTCTGCGTCTTCTTGTTCCTCCTCATCTTCTTCTTCATCTTCTTCACCACCATCGCCTAGCATCGCGAACAAGCTGGGTTTCGCCGTTGTCTTGGGCGCCACGTCAGGCTCCGACTCGTCCTCGTCTTGGTCATCTTGAGCAAGTTTTTCCTGTATCTGCTTCTCTTCAAGTTCTCGCTGCGCCCGGCGCAACGCTCGCGAAGACATTTTGTTGCCTCGAAAATTATGTGGTTGCGGTAACGTGATGACGTCGTAGTGGTGGTTTGGAATGTTAGCCGCAGGCGCAATCGGCTTTGTACGAACAGGGGATAATTGGCCCCGCTTAGGCGCTTGGATGTAGCGTTCTCCCGAACTGCACCATGATTTCACTGCTGTAGTCCATCGTGCTGGCCTACCTCACTTCAACGATCCTTCACTCCACCTGCCAGATGCGGGCTGCCTTTCAAGTGCTTCGCTCTGCGCGCCGCCCGTGCCTGCGCAAGCTTGCCCGCAGTCGTGTCGGCGTCTTCGCGCCGAGCAATGGCCTAGGCTTCCGGGCTCATCATCACCATCACTACCGCCAGCGCACCTCCCCCAACGTCCTTACCTCGTCCATGCAGTTACGTGCCCTCACAGGTGCGTTAGTGGCTGCCGCCTTCGCCTCGGGTGCCTTCTATGCTTACAGCGACAAATCCTCGACAGGACATTCGCATTCACCCGCCGATCAAGCGAGGAACCTGACCAACGCCGCGAGTAGCGAGCCTACACGAAAGGCTCTGGTCGTCGGCCCCGGTGAACTTTATACGGGAACAATCACCGGCACTGGCCCAATCTCAAAAGAGACGGATGACTACGGTAGAAAGGTGCTGGAGATGCTGGACCCCGACCAAGCTACTGCCAAGTTGAGGAAAAACGAGGAGTCGTGGCTTGTAGGGAGGGGACAGGGAGTTGTGCGATACGACGTGGTGCAGATCCCCAGCAACTCTCCGATCGAAGATGACCATGCCGAGAAGATTATCGAGGTACCATCAAATCTGGCAGCTACCGACAATGGCGCTCCCGCCAGCGACTGGATGTTCTGGGGTGTTTTCGACGGACACAGGTAGGCTTGCCCTATATCAAGGTTACGCGTCATTTCAATGCTAATGTCCACAGTGGCTGGGTTACTTCAGCCAAACTCCGTCAAACGCTCATTTCCTATGTCGCACGCGAGCTCAACACGACCTACAAGTCCGCCGTCGAGGACCCTGCACTCCACTTCCCGAGCTCCGATGCTATTGACAAAGCCATCAAGACGGGCTTCATCAAGCTAGACAACGAGATCGTACACGAATCTGTCAAAAAGGTTCGGAAGGCTCAGTCAAAGATCGCTGCTGCCGAGCTGCTTGCCCCCGCCTTGTCCGGTTCTTGTGCACTTTTATCCTTCTACGATAGCCAGTCAAAACTGCTGCGAGTTGCCTGCACGGGTGACTCGCGCGCTATCCTAGGTCGACGAGGCCCAAATGGCAAGTGGACAGTGACACCTCTGTCTGAAGACCAAACTGGCGGCACCACAAGCGAGGCAGAGCGATTACGCCGAGAACACCCAGGTGAGCCCAATGTGGTACGTAACGGTCGCATCCTAGGTGGGCTGGAGCCATCCCGTGCTTTTGGCGACGCCTCCTACAAGTGGTCGCTCGAGACGAATGCAGAGCTCAAGAAGTCCTACTTTTCACGGTCACCGTCAACGCTACTCAAAACTCCCCCATATGTCACTGCTGAGCCTGTTATTACCACAACCAAAGTAGAGCCTGAAAAAGGCGACTTTGTGGTCATGGCTACTGACGGTTTGTGGGAAATGCTTACCAACGAAGAGGTCGTTGGCCTAGTTGGGCAATGGCTCGATGCTCAGGGCAACCCGAGCAGTCAAGGTTCACAGGCTCAGTCCTGGCTCAAAAGTTGGTGGTCAACACAAAAGCAACTGCCTGTCGAGCAAAAGCCAGGTGAGAAAGGGGAGGGGCAGCGTGCACCAATCCGCCAGCAGCAGTGGGGTACCAAGACCAGCCTGAACGAGCGTTTCGTAGTCGAAGACAAGAATGCAGCAACTCATCTTGTTCGAAACGCACTTGGCGGAAAGGACCAAGATCAGCTGAGTGCACTGCTCACTCTTCCAAGTCCCTTTTCTCGACGATACAGAGATGATTTGACAGTTGAAGTCATCTTCTTTGGAGAGGGTACAGGCACTGGCAACGTTACCCGGAATCAGGAAGCGAGCGCCGCAGAAGCTGAGGCCAAGGCAAAGCTATAAAGCGACATCTCGTTTCTAAATCTGAAGATATATGTAGTGATATCCTTGAGCGAGCTGACATGCGGCTCACGGCGTTTGTGGGCTCTTTCGAGTATGGCGTTTGGTAAGAGCATGACGCGCCCAGCGAATCTCTTTTTGAGTTACACCGTAGCATAGCATCGCTTTCGAATCCTGAACTGTAGTGAACCAGGTTCTCGACCTGTTTAATTCACCTCTCTGGGTGCACATGATTATTTCTCTGTTGCGTTTGGCTCTTTCTACACGCGCAGATGATGCCATCTCTGTGTGCATTCGAATCTTCGTGCGTATGATTATATACCCGCGTGAATCCGATTCCATCACGACGTGCTCGTGTGTCCATTACTCCTTTCTGGTTAGATTCCGCAACCTCCGCATGATGTCATGGTTGCGACTGGAAGCATCATGAACCGCCCACAATACTGCAAAACTTGGTTAAAGCTCTGGTAATTTAGTACTCCACAGCCATTTTACACTTGTCGTACTTTGCTGTTCGAATTTCCAACTTCTTCATTTATCTGAATAAACATAATGGCCGAATCACTAGCAGCATTCCGTGACCGCAGGTCGAAGGATCTCCGCCAGCTTGCAGAAGAACATCTGCAACATGAGTAAGCAGCTTCATACTGCCGCCTAGGACAGCAATGTCTAACCGAGAACAGCCTCAACCAACAAGATCGCGACATACTTCAGAAAGCGGGCGGCAAGGTTTCGACGCACACTGGTTTCGCATCAGCAGTCGGGCTAGGTCTAGGACTCTATACGGCATTCCGACTACGAGCTATGCGCCTTGCATACTTCAGAGCTTTCCGAGCCATGGAGAAGCCGGTAGAAGTGCGCTTCGCAGATGGTCGTACTGAGCCTATCCCAGACATCACAGCGAAAATATCTGGGCCTTCACGCTGGGGCGATGCTGCGACCTACTTCCTCTTTTCCGTTGGCGGCCTCTTCCTTGGTGGTGAACTGGGTCTGTTGACGGGTACAGCCAGCGCAGCGAGAACGGTTACCAAGGACCCGGCGAGTAGGGAGAGGATTGAGAAGGCGTTTAAGAATTACCGAATTGATGTGCTACAGAGAGAGATTGAGCAGCTGAAGGGCAAGAGTAAATTCGAGGAGTTCTTTAGTAGTGGGCCGTCTAGTGCGTAGGTCGTCAAGCCTACGGCCTGAGCTGTAGTATCTGGGAAGCTGCATTTCACGTACGTGTATATATAGTTTTGTTCAGGCGGCATACTTGCCCATCTTTATGTCTGACAAGCCCTTAGCAGCATACAACTGACATATGACTGCAGCAACCACTAACGTAATTTTTCCCACTATCCAAGTGAACCAAACCATTCAGAATCATGGATGTATACCCTGTATGCATGCGCATCGATATCGATGCTGCTACGTTTTTGACGTGCATGCCATTCTTGTAGCCATCGCAGCCTCGTCGTTCCAGACTCGCGCACATGACGTGTCGCGCTAAAATGGTGGCGCGGCTGTTGCAGATCGTTGGATGAGAGACAAGACCCGCGTGGCTCGCAACCTTAAAACAGAGCTTTACGTCATAGCATATTGCCTAACTAGGGAGTCCCGGGTGGTCCGTTCGGGGGGGCTTGGAAAACAATCGTCGTCTGGAATTTCTCAACAGCAGCAGCTTCTTTGCAGCAGGTATCGTTTCTTTAACTGCGTATTTCTCCGCATCCTCTCGCTCTCGACGCCGTTTGTGCCCATTGTACGACGTTGTACCCAGCGTACTCATTTACCCCGTACTCGGATCGAACGGCACTGCATAGCAACCAGACCCGCTGGAACTTCCACTGCATACACCTGGACGTCTGTACAGCTCTCGCTATCACTCGAGAAGGATTGACATAGCCGATATCTGTTCCCACCTGTGAGCCTATAATCTGGTCGCGAATTTAAACAACAACCACCCCTGTGGCGATCATGAAGGGGGCGATACTTTCCGTGGTGTGGCTTGCGGGCCTCACTGCAGCCCAGAGTAGCTCGGCCTCGGTGACTCCATCAGTCATCACCTTATCTGGATCGCAGCGGAGTCTGACGGGCGATGATGCGGCTCCCAACCCAACCGTTCCTTCGGATTTCGAGGGCAGCACATTTGCGACCATAACCTCGCCTGCGTCTTCTGGACCGTCTGGTAGCACTTTCTCGGCCAATGGCACGGCCTCACTTACAAGCACTCAAGACCCCGTTACAAACATCGGAGGAGGGAACAGGACATTGACACCGACTGGCACTGGGACAGCTCCGGCGCTGCCATCAAACACACAGCCGTGTAATAACTATCTGGAGTTTTGCAACCGCAAGTACTCCAATATCACCGAAGTAGCTGCGCACAATTCGCCCTACACGCGACAGAATAACATTGCGCGCAACCAAGAGTATGGCGTGACACAACAACTGAACGACGGTATCCGCATGCTGCAGGGCTCAGCCCACTACGTCAATGGCACGCTCTACTATTGCCATTCGTCTTGCGACCTGCTCAACGCTGGTACTGTGGAAGACTACCTTCGTGAAGTCACCGCATGGGTAGAAGCACACCCCTTCGACGTCATCACGATTCTCTTCGGCAACTCCAACTGGGACGAAACAACCGACGATGGCAAGCCACTCGTCACATCCTCCAACTTCGCTGATCCGATCGAGAAGTCTGGCCTGATCGAATACGTCTACCAGCCACCAAAGACCGCCATGGAACTCGATGACTGGCCAACGCTCGGCGAACTTATCCTTCACAACAACCGTGTCATTACATTCATCGACTACAACTTCGATACTGATGCGGTTCCATACATGCTATGGGAGTTTTACAATATGTGGGAAACACCCTTCTCTCCCACCGACCCCGATTTCCCATGTACGCTTGGCAGGCCCGAAGGGATGGCTGAGGAGAAGATGAGAGATATCATGTACATGGCAAACCACAACTTGAATGCCGAGATTTCATTTGCTGGATTGAACCTTCTGGTACCTAATGTAGCCCAGATCAACCAGACCAACGGTCTGGAAGGAGAGGGCAGCCTGGGTGCTATGACCAACACTTGCACTAGTGCGTATTCCCACACTTCCAGCTCAGTTTCTCCTCTTGCAACTTGCTAACACGTCTCTCGCAGCTAACTGGGACCGCCCACCGAACTTCCTCCTCGTCGACTTCTATAACCAAGGGCCTATCAACGGTTCCGTCTTCGAAGTTGCTGCCCGTGCAAACAACGTTACGTATGACCGTGAGTGCTGCGGTACTACATCTGTCGCCAATGTGTTACTGCGACCTAGTGCTACTTACTTTGGCTTCGTGGTTGCGATTGCTGCCGCATTGGTCCTATGACCTCCTTCGACGGTTGAAGTCGTCTAATTGGGTAATTGATCGCTAGTTGGAAGCATGGGTTCCGAGGTACATAAGCATGGGTCAGGCGTTTACCGGTCGAGATAGTTTGTGTTCTTCTTGTATCATGATAGCGATTGTAAGCGATTTTGTGTAGGCCCAGCATGTATTCAACTTTCACGTCGTTTTCATACCCATCACCTTTGTCTCCCTTTTTTGTATCATCGCAGTATGGACCCTAGAGAGTAGTGGCCAACTCGGTTACTCACTGCTGAATAGAGATAAAGACAGTAGAGATGGAGCTTCCGTGGGCGAATTTGAGATGAGTGGGTGACGATGAGTGTCCGCAACATGTCGCACTAGTGTACGCTGTTCATTGCGTTTGTTGTTGACTCGCCTTGATTTTTCTACAACCACATCCTTAATACCTCGTTACTCTTTTGCACTACCAAGCTACCTGAACGGAATCGCGCAATGTCTGCTTCCGCGACAGGATTGGCAGATCAATATCAGATCTTGGATGTTAGCCCCGATGCCGCCCATGATACCACTGAGGATGCTTTCCATAGGCTGTCAAGAGAAAACCATCCTGACAAAGCTACCCACGATAAAAATAAACCCGAGCATCAGAAACAGGACATACTCAGAATACATGCGTCTGATAAAGCGCTTGTCAATGCGATGATTCTGCGGGTCCACGTCAACAAATTCCACCAGGGCAGAAAAAGATAGGTAAACCTTGACGACGATATTACAAGGAGCATCAGAATAATGAGCCATGGCCGCCAGCACGGTTCGGCCAACGTCTATAAAAAAAAGGCTCTAAATCTGGATTTACCATGGGACAGCTTTGTTTGTACCTTTCCACCATAAGAGAGACATAGGATGCGTTCATGGCAATACCATTATGTCAAGCACCAACTGAAAGATGGAATATGGATGAAATCGGCATCACCATTGCGGAACCCCGTGCTCAGGACAACTATCGTTGGGTAGGCTTTGTGTAATGGCTATCCGCGGATGAGAAGTTTGCTGACAAGAGCTACTCTAGAGCGATGGTCTACACCGTCCGTGACACATTCTATGTCGCTTTTGGTGTACACCTAGGGAAGCTCAATCATTTCCGCAATTCTTCCGTGTTCATGTTACTAGTCAGCTCGTTCCGCCGAGTTAATCTTTTGCTCCACGATGACCATACTTTATGACGCCGCAGATGATCATGGTTTATGATAACATACATTGTATCTAGAGCTGAATCATTCCGTCTTGTGGCACTATGAAGACGCAGAACAGACGAGCTACTAACAGATTCTGTGGTTTCGAAAAAGAAAAAGAAGGGAATAGGAGATGATTGCCTTGAGTATCAGAAATCACCGCACTGAATGCTGCTCAATCTCGTCGAGACCGAGAGAGTATTGCTTCCTTCGCCACCACCAGACTCGAGTACGTGTTTCGAGTGAGAGGCATTAGGCACTGCAGAATTTTGTTCTATCAGAAAATAGGTACATGTCTCTTTCAACTACGAACAACACAGCGATGCGTGACTTACATGTGCTACAGGAAAGTCAATATATTTACGTTCTATTGAAGTCCGCAATACAGACAAGCTTGGTGTAGATTTCGAAGATTTGAAGTGGCTTAGGTTGCGATT